ATATCAGACAGATATTCTCCCACATTAATGATTACAGCTGTGGTTTAAGGCGGTTTTGGTTAACAATGTTTATTCTTTCAGGGATCCTCACTGATCCCCTGACTCTCACACAGCCTTTCTTCTCACTCCATGCATAGTATTGCATCTGTGTTTGTCGTGGGCGACTGTGTCTTGTTATGTAGCAAGCAAGGGCATTGTCAGCTGCACCTGCTATCAATATGCTGTTATTGTCTCACAGGTCAGATAAAAAGATGACTGAGAGGCAGATGGGTTTACGCGAAAAGATCATTAGCTTTTTTTTCCCTCAAGAAAAACTCAGTAAATCATCTGGTGATTAATAGTCACAGTTCCTCCTGTAGTTATCTAGACTTTAACATCATGCATTTTACTGTAACGTGGGTTACTAATTCAATTGACTATCTGGGCTGCTCCCACTCCCTCTTTCTAAAGATAAGTGTGTTTTTTTCTTATAAAACGTCTGTGCGCAAACATCGGTAAATACTCCCAGGTTTAAGTCAACGTGAGACACACCCTTTAATATTATATGCTTTCAAATATTCCACATTTTAATGGGAATTACTGTACTTTTATAGTAGTATTTGTAAGTGAATTATTCAAAGCTGTTTTTATCTTTAGAGACATGCCACATTTCTCCTGCATAGTTTGTAGTCTGGTAGGTTAAGCAACAGCTAGTAAACAGGTTTAACCGGCTGGCAACGACTTTATAAGTAGGCTGTGGTCAGAAGAAGACACTCACGATTCAACACAAACTAACCCGACATTTAATTTCTCCTCCTAATTTCTCCTTTAACAGTTTTTTTTTTTTAAATTCTTTTAAATGTCTTACCCAGGATTTCTTTTCTTCTTGAAGTGTGGGGCTGGTCATTGTAGACCCATTCAAAGTCGTCCCTTCCACCTGTCTTCCCCATGACTGTCCTCACTGAGAATGAGAGCGCCGACTCTGTGGCGTTTTGTGTGTCATCAAACTTGCACAGTATCGGGGCACACCCACCAACACAGGTTGTAGGCTGAAGGTGCAAAAGGTGTGATCACTAGCCCCTCCCTCCCCGGGGGCTGGAGGAGGGACGAAGTGGAGCAGGACAGTGTCACCTGCTGAAATCTGTGCAACCTTATGCTCTCTAGATCAACTGGATCTTTACGTTATTTATTTTATTATATAGTTAGAGGGATACTAAAGCTAAAGCACTGCAAAAGAAACATTCAAAAAGAAAATTACAGTCTAAGCAATTTGCACTATAATGTGACCAAGACCACCTTGTTGTAGGCTGTTCATCCCCATCCCAGCATGTAACACAAGAACCTGCTAAATATCAGTGGAATTATCTAATAATTATTACATTATAAGTGATGCAGATATATAATATGATTTCACTCTTGAGAACCTTCAACATGCTGTAGTTCTTACCATTACCACCATATGATAGGAGTTTTCCTGAGTTGTCTTTCTGCATAGGCTTAAGAAAAGTGTAGCCTATTGATTTGCAGCCTTGATAAGTTGATTATATATACATTTATATATATAAATGGTAATATATATTTATATTATATATATATGTATATATGGTTTGGAATTGTTGCTCTGACAAAAACAGCAATTTGAATGTGTCACCTTGGGAAAATCCTCTCGGAAATGATCATCAAACTATTTTCACTTTATAGACCAAGAAGTTAATCAAATAATAAAACAAATAGTCGCCATGTTATTTAGTAATACAAAATATCTAATGCAACTTTAATTTGCAATACATTCATGTTACTATACACAGTTCAAGTAGGCTATGTCCTCATTTTATCCTCATTACTTTGAGTTTGTTATTTAGAAGCATTCATTCATAAATTATGATTAAATGTTTCCTATAAATAACTGTTGCCATACACATTTAAATTTACTTCAATATCCTCATGGTAATAACTTATACTGTAAAGCAATAAAAGCTGCAGGTTATGTTCCACATTTTAACCACAGACTGGGGGAACTCTTTAGTCCAAATCACGCGAGACTTCAAAACTGGAGCATTGTGGCGACGAGAGTACAGTAGTGTAGAGTTGTTTTCGAAGAGGGAGGAGGAAGGCTGTGTAGACAGGAGGGAAAGCGAGAGTGTACAAAAAAAAAATATATACCATACAAGTAGGAGGAAATACAACATTAATGATGGCATCGGGGGACACGCTGTACATAGGAACGGACGGGTCAGAAATGCCGGCCGAGATAGTGGAACTGCACGAAATCGAAGTAGAGACAATCGAGACAACAGTTGTTGGAGACGACGGTGAACACCAGCCTATGATCGCCTTACAGCCTCTTGACACGGATGATCCAAACTCGATTCACCCGCACCAAGAGGTGATTCTGGTGCAGACGAGAGAGGAGGTGGTGGGCGAGGATGACTCTGAACTGCACACGGACGACGGGTTTGAGGACCAGATCCTCATCCCGGTGCCCGCAGTGGAGGAGGACTTTATCGAACAGACTCTCGTTACTGTCGCCGGGAAAAGCTCGTCGACAGGCCGGATGAAGAAGGCTGGAAGCGGAAAGAAAGCGGGCAAAAAGAGCTACCTGAGCGGAGGAGAAATGGGCAGAAAATGGGAACAGAAGCAGGTCCAGATAAAGACTTTGGAGGGGGAGTTTTCGGTTACTATGTGGGCATCGGGTAAGTTCAGAGTCCTGTGTGAATTCCTGCAAGCTGGTTCCTCGCTTTGTTCTCAGCGTGTGTGCCGTGTGACTGGGCCCAGTCGGGGCCTTGTCCTCCGCCAAAGTAGGAATTATTTCCAAAACTCTGAGCCACTTAAACTTCATTTGAAATGTTTTTGTTTTTATGGGAAGCCATGTTTTATGTGTCGATGGGCGCCGCCATATTTCCCCGGTCTAGAAAGTATGGCGGCCCGAAAAAATGGCGTTTATTTGGCCGACGAAGATGGCGGCGAGAGTGGGAGCGAGTGCAGCTGGCTCCGCTAGGCCGCTGTGGCGCAGTTCAGTTCGGCTGTAACGGCGGTGGTGCCTTCAGGAACCCCTCATACTTTACACTTCCGAGGCTTTAAACACACCTTATATGTGCATACGGTTCAAGCGAACTAGAGTCTGTGTCGAAAAGTAGTTCCTCTGATTTTTTTTTTTTTTTTCGTGCTGTGCATCGGATTAGAACAGATATATGTTTAATTTAGACACGTTTTTTTTTTTTTTTATCGTTGTGACTTTATATATAAATATTGTTTGGTTTAAAAAGTTCTGTGAAAAATAATACAAAATGTTTTGTTTACTTGCAGTGGTCAAAATTTGAATATTTGAAATGTTCATGTTTGTAAACATGGCAGCGTGGATCTTCCTTGTGTCGTTTCGCACAATTAAAGCTAGTTTCAGTGAGGTGAGATTGTATGTGGCGTTACATGGAAAATATAGTCCATAATAAGAAATCGTAAAAAAAAAAAAATCTTTAAACTTCTGTATTCCCCCCCGTATAAAAAACCCTGACATATTGGGTTTCTATGTCTACAAAGTAAGCCTGTTCAATACAGACCTTCGAGCCATAACCTGTGCTTTCTGTCACATCTTTTTTGTTAGTAGTAAATGAGTAACAGTAGAGTGTGTCAGGAGATAATGGTTGAGCTCAAAGTGGTTTTAATCAATTCGTTCACATGTTCTGGTACTGTTTTAATGATCAACACATCCGTCCCTCTCATTCAGATGACAAGAAGGACATAGACCATGAGGAGCAAATCACGGGTGAAAACTCTCCTCCAGATTACTCGGAATACATGACAGGGAAGAAGCTTCCTCCTGGAGGCATCCCAGGCATCGACCTGTCAGACCCCAAACAGCTGGCAGAGTTTGCACGGTATGTGGTGATGTTGTTGATGTTTATGTTTACCCAGGGTCAGTGTATCTTCTGCAAAGTGACTGTAAGATGAAGACTCGCATTAAAGGAATCATTTCTCCCATTATATTACACATGATGATTCAGTGAAGTTTTGTTGAACGTGATCAGTTTTAAAGAAAATGATGCTGTAAGTGGCTGACTCAAATAATCACATCAGATTTCTGTGAATATATGAAAACACATGATTTATTGTTTCTTTTGTAGTGATTTTATTTTGTATTGTTATTATTTATTTTTTATATATATATAATTTTTTTTTAAATGAAATAGAAAAATAAAAAACTTTTTTTTAATACTTAGCTGATTCCTGAAGAAAAATAGCCTGTATTTCAATTTTAATGTTTTTTATTTCTAAATGAATCAAATAACTTATTTTGTACTACTACTTTATATCTATTTCTAAAAAGAAGATCAAATAACCAAGAGATACGTGAACCATCCACAAGTAATGGCGAGGCAAATTCAATGAGCCGTAACAAAAGAAATATATTCATACAACCATTTTCAAAGGAGAAATTAGTTTGCTTAACTAACGACCAGTTAACAGAACATTATTAAAAACTGTGATAGTACAAAAGTGAAAGAAGTATTGCCTTTCATATGCTTAAACCATTGCTGCTTTGAACAGCATACAAGTTTATATCAAGAGTGATTTCTTAAAGTAAACAAATCTTAGTGTTTGTCTGTTAGGAGTGTTGATGGTTATGTGAACAGTCTATAGTGACTTTTATTTCTGTTGCAGAATGAAGCCAAGAAAAGTAAAAGAAGACGATGCACCCAGGACGATAGCCTGTCCACACAAAGTAAGTGCAGTGTTTATTACACCAGTTTACACAGCACTGTGGAAAAGATGAAGGGTAAATGCATGAACATAAACTTTCTCAGTTGTACTGTATGTATTTACTATTGACATTACCGTACTGAGGACATGGATATATTAATTACACTGATATTAGGAACACTTAAGCATTCTGAGCTGCCGTGATTCAGTTGCTAAAGCTACGCTGTAAAGTGAATATTTCCCGAGTGGTTAACTTCATCCCATTTCTCTCCCTCTAAGGGATGCACCAAGATGTTCAGGGACAACTCAGCGATGAGAAAGCACTTGCATACCCATGGGCCTCGCGTGCACGTCTGTGCAGAGTGTGGCAAAGCCTTTGTTGAGAGTTCAAAACTGAAGAGGCATCAACTCGTACACACAGGAGAGAAACCTTTCCAGGTGAGTTCCTTCGCTGCCTGTGAGTCAGGAGAAAACTGTAAAATTTGACTTTGCTTTATTAGAAAGAAATGTAAACTTTGCCCAACTGGCATTGTGTCAGAGCAGTTCCATATAAACCTTGCCATTGTCATCTCAAATGCATGCTGTGATATCAGTTTCTGTGAGCCAGGCTGAGACATTCAGCCCGTTTAACTCAATCTCTCTCGTCTCCAGTGCACATTTGAGGGCTGTGGCAAGAGGTTCTCCCTGGACTTTAACTTGCGCACACATGTGCGTATTCACACTGGAGACCGCCCGTATGTGTGCCCCTTTGATGGCTGCAACAAAAAATTTGCCCAGTCAACTAACCTGAAGTCTCACATCCTCACACACGCCAAAGCCAAAAACAACCAGTGAATTGGCCCCGAACCTGGCTAACATCAATGACGTGAGCGTACACTGGAGGACTTGACCTGCATCTCTGCTCCTTGACAAACTTATGTCCCGTGGCCTGCTTTGTTGTGAGATAAGAAGTCCCCTTTGTATCATCTCTAGGTAAAGGTTTAAACAGAGAAATGACTTTTTCTCAAACTTTTTGATATACATATGGAGGTTTGAACAAGGAACTGGTGAGAACCCCGACCCCCTCAGGCATCCTACCCTACTTTGGCGCTACCTGGATGGAACAATTTACGGTTTCTTCTTGTGAAGATGTTAATTCATGGATCTGCACCTAAAAACTTATTTATACCTTAGCACAGCCAGTTAAAGTTTTTCAAAAGATGTCAAATTTGCATCGATCCTCAGCAGTGACACCTTTTCAATTTTGTACTTTCCCCCCCTAAGTGTGCATATTGTACACTGTTTGACATAAGCTCTGTGGTAATGTATGTAGTCAGATTGTCCCTGTAGCTCTTCATGGAAGAGGTTTCACAGTTTGTTTTACCTCCCCCTTAGCCCTTCATATGAGTGTTTCGTGGGGGGACTGGGGGGGTCTTTGCATATTTTCATTTTGTACAAGGCAATATCAGAATCATGTAGATAGTAGACATGTGATTTTCAATAGTGATCACTGATTAAAATGTTTTCCCCCTTGCACTACCAGTACAAAAAGTGTCATTTGTCCTCTTACAATTAAGTCAACCTAAAATATAATTTTGTTTATTATGATCATATTTTTAGTATCATTTAAAGACATACAGGGCTGGCTCAAAAACTGAAGTGATGCAGGTTTGAGTCCCTAGAGTCAATGGATGTGATTGATGTTCACATCACTGTTAAAGAATTACAATAGGGCAATAAAAATTGTTTCAAAAAAGTAGCTGTTCTCTTGAAGTTCACCAAGCATCACATGCAGTTTAATGTTGACAGAATGTGTCCCCGGTATTTGAGGTTGCTTCAGCAGGTTGATGGTTGTTTGGAGAAATACTCTTGGAAAAACAGACGTGAAACAAATTCTGTTTCTTTTATTTTTCAGTGCATATACATATTTGACAGTTGTATCATGTCTTCAAACTTAAATTAAGCTGCTTCAAAGACACCTTACAGCTGATAAATTCTGTGACAATGATTTGAACACACTGCTCATTGTGTCTGATATGAGACCCAAAGAGAAAACAAACAAGAGGGAGTGTCACAATTTGCAGCGAAAAATCAAAGGTTTCATCGAATGTCACGTTGCCAGCTGCGATCAACTGTAACAAGGTTTTACAGTCAAGTAAAAATAGCAATATCAATTTAGGGCAGCAACTCAATTATTTAATAACTTAATTAATCTGACAATTATGTTGATGGTGAAAACAGGTCAATTGCTGAAATCCAAAAACAATTTAGAAGTGGGAACGAGGAAGTGTTTGGCAGTTGATTTAGCATTACATTTTGTACAACACATCACTCTAAGCATTTGGTACATTCTCTACAGCGTTCACACTCTTGAACAACCAACTGACACTTCATAGCAAAAATCCAGCTTTAATAAAGTCAAAGACAACGCAGCCTCTCTCACATCTGATTTGAAGATTTACATGTTTTTTTTTAAATATCCTTCAACCAAGTGCAACAATGCTGGTGGGTAGAATTGCTGAATCACTTTGAACCCACATTAGTGCATTTCATAGCCGCAGAGCAAACGGGAACAAACCAGAGTAAAATCAAGGTCTGTAAATCTTAACACCACATACTGTATGTCCCTGTATTATTACAAAGACATGAGCAACATTTTTGAAATTGCATGCAACACCTAGCTCATCCCTGAAGATTAGTATGGCAAACAGACATCTCAGTCATACTACAAACCAAACCTGTATCAGACTACATGCTGAATTGCTTTTGATGTGGTGAAATTATTGCATCTGGTATTTTTGATTGACATCTAACATAATAGACATTAGTGATGTAAGAATTCAAACAGGCCTATTTGTACATCTAAGAAGTGATTGGTGTGTATATTTAGTATGTTTATGTTCTTTATGCATAGCAACCACTTTACCCACACTGTCTTTTGCTGTGTATCTAGTGGCATGAATCTACCTGTAGTTTTAAAAGAGCATCAAAAATAAAAACCACCACACTCCCTGACCTTAAAGTATTTGAGGAAACAGTTTAAAGCCTTTTTAGAGAAATTAAAATACACTGATAAATGAGTCAAGCATAGCCATAAGTGGATGGATGGGTTGACGGCAGATAGAAACCATTCCTGAAGACTGGACTGAACACAGCCTTTCAACATCAAATGAACTGAATAAAGAGGCATACATCTAAACTGTAGGCAGTTTTCCCTCCATTTCACCAACCTGCCTTTGGTCAAGAGTTTGGATGTGTGTAAAGTACTTGCTCTCAGGGCAGACACTGCTACTTTCACTTAGCCAGCAGTGCAGCCAGCAGTGCGGGGTAGTTTGGCGTCCCCCAGCCTGTAACGGGGTCCCACGATGGTGCAGCACAGAAACCTTTACCCTGAACCTGCTCGTCCAGACAGCCCAGGTGACAGCCTTCAGTCACCTGGAGACAAAAAGCATGGCATTTAGGAACCAGACCATGATAACAAGATGTGTTGCAGAAAGGTTCTTTCTACTGTCTTTTAACATAACGCCTAACTGAATGTACAAACGTAATGCTCCAACTTACAGTAGGGTTTGGGACAGCGTGCCTCAAGAAGGAATTCAAGTTCTACAATTTGACTGCTTGGGTTATGCAATTTTCACTTACACAATACTCAGTGGCCACTGTCAGCTATGCAGTCTAGAACAACATTGACTAATATTCTCGCCCTCATGTATATAAATAGTGACCAAAAATTAGAAGCACCTCTTAATATAATGTAGTCCATTGTCTTTAACTACGACTGATCAGTAATAAACATATATTACATACACATACAATACAAATGTATTGTAGAATTTATGACGGGTGCAGATTGGCCACTAAGTGTAACAGAACACATCTCAGCAAAGCGAGATCATGATCATGACAATGTGAGATTGCTACATAAAATCCAGTCTAAAAACAAACTTCAAGGTTTAACTGAAAAACAGCTCGACTTACATCAAATAGGGCCTGTCCTTTGAGTTTGTAGAGGCGAGGGTTGAGGAAGCCCAGGACAGGCAGGCCCTTTAGCAGCCGCTTATCATTGATGAGAGACAGCATGCCTCCGACCACAGGGGTTGATGCCTAGAAGGGAGATCAATCGATAAAGTGAGCAAATAGTAAAAGGAATCTGTGTGTATGTATGTACACATATACACATACACACACACACACACACACATATACACACACACACACTAATATCACTCTTATTAAAATGAAGTGTGATTTTTCTGCAACCTTTACCATCTTCACTAATACTTTACTTTGTTGCTACAACTTTTAAGAGTAGCTTAATGGGTGCAACATGGCAGACAAGGCACCAGACCCCTTTCGGCTGCTAGCTGTTGGGTCTAGAGGCCCAGCGTGCTCCAGCAGCCATACGGATTGGCCCAACATCTAGTTTGTAAGGTAAAAGCAACAGGGCCTCTGCGTTTTGATTTAATTATCCATGTGTCTTGTTTAGCTTTTGTACAGCTTGGTTTTGTCCTCAGATTTCACTGCATCTGTTCTGTCACACTGTCAATTCTCTGTTCACCAAAAAGTATATTAAAGTTTGACATATTTTACCGAAGTCCCAGACACCCAGGGGACGGGCACTCTATTGATGACCACCCAGTAATTATCAGACAGGGCAGCCATGTCTGGATAGGCCCTGCCACTGGTATTGTAATATGACTGAGGAGGGAGGGTTGCTGCGACGGTCTTCATATACGCATCCACTGCACTGGCCTATAGGAACACAAATACACAACATCAATGACACGGTTCACAATAATTGAGCATTAAAAGAGCTGATGACCCCACATGATCACCTGGTAGTCAGGCATCTTGAAGACGTTGCTGAAGCCTCCTCCACTGATGTAATCTGTGACTTCATATGTGACCTTAAATGGGTTCTTGAATGAGGTTCCTCCTACTGTAGTCACATATGGGCTGGGAACAGGAAGTGGGACATGGACCGTTAGAGGTCTTCCTAAACCTTTTGAGACTAGGACACTTGAGTCGAGAAAGAAAAAGTAGAAGTGTTTTACCTTGAGGCAGGAAAACTTGGCCTGAAGGAGTTTTGTTCTTTACCCAAATGTCTGCAGCCGGCACCGCTGTCACCTGAACATGAAAAAATAAATAAATCATAATTTAAAAAAAATAAAATAAAATACTAAAGATGATAGAACAGGTAATCATGCAGCATATCTAACTGACAACTGGCAGTCTTTGAGGATTGTTATGCAAGACACTTCGGGCCAAAACGTAACGCGTTTTTCCGGATTGTGGGAGTTTCTTCAACACAATAGTAGTGTAATCATGTTTCAAGTGAGAAAGTGATCTGACAATAAGAATGGAGCCAAACCACAGTAAGTTGACACGCTTTTCATCAGCTCTCTCAGGCTGTTCCAAAAATTACAGCTACAGTAAGTTACAGCTTACAGTTCCCATTTGTTCAAGTATTGTCTTGTCTCCAATACCACTGAAAACAGGAACTTGTTATTTACTGGCCATACTAGTTGGATTAAAAACTGAACAAGAAACAAGTGAGAGGTCACAGTCATTGCATGCAACAGGAGTGACAAATCACATGTTCAAAAGATAAAAAACAGGCTGAATCTGTCCTGTAGACAAACAAAGACTTGCTCACTGACTCATATTTTGCTGATGAAGTATAGATTAGGTGTTTGTGAATGTTTGTGAGTCATCCTGTGCTGAAAGTACAAGGCATGAGGCACAGTTCCTCTTCACTGACCAGATGCAAAGAGCAAAGAGATTCCCCTGACGCCAGCCTTCATAAACTCTGTGTTGATGCGCATCATGTATGCAGTAGACAGGCTGTCTTCATCGTCTCCATAGCTGATGGTGTGAACCCAGGGCAGGTCAGACATGTTGCTAAGCAAAACCATCCACTGGAGGAAAGGCTCCTGGGACTCGTGACGCCCTGAACAACAATGAAGAAATGGTTTGTGATTTTCCTTTCAGCGCTCCACACACACACAAAGCCTCAGTCTCTCATACAGACCTGGATTGGTGAAGACCCATGTGGAGATGTTTGCCCCTGTGCTCATGATGTACTCTATGTCCAGACTGGCCTCCAGACCAGCCTTTCCCGCTCCCTGAGTGCCCACAACCCGGTCCACCTGAGAGTGATGCTGGAAGCTCCTGCCATACATGCTCATGAACTCAGCCAGGTCTGCAGGGCTGTAGTACTGCTCCAAGAACTAAAAGAGAAAACAGCTAGCTAGAGTGAGAAAGTACACCAAGTTATGGTGGATTATAGAGTCGGAGATGATGTACATGTCTCTCACAGCAACCCTTTTTATTATGACGTTAGTCTGAGATGGTCACACCTGAGCTACAGCCTGACTGTTGTTTTGAGCTGTTCCCACATCAGTTGCTGTCAGGTTATAACGGGCCCTCAATATGGCGGGAGTCACCCCCAGGTGCACCCCTGCCTTAGACTTTTGCTTCCTGTTGGAGGAGTCCTGCAGCCCTTTAGGAGGAAGGCGATGAAGCCCTCCAACTGTGGATGCACACAAAGAAAATCCATAAAGCAATGTTAGTATGGATCTTAACTGAAATATACAGCGATCACATACAGCTGAACATTTTACAGCTACAGAAATGATTCTCACCAAAGTCCAGGTGCTGGTGAACGTCATCGTGAACAGAGTACGGAGCTGAAGACCTCAATAGAGACTGCCCGTCTCTGGTGTAACGGTGAAACTTACTGCCTGGAAGCAGTGTCTCTGCAGCCCTTAATACACAAAAACAACCAACAACAACCACAGTTTGAATATCTAACAGTCCACAAACAATCTTAAGTATTTAAGAAACACTTTGCCTTGTATGCAAAACTGACAACTCCAAGTAAGTTTTTCCAGAGGTTCAGTTCACTTCCTGGTAGTGGTAGAAGTGAAACTGTTATCATGGGGTGGGGGTTTTTAAGCTCAAATAACCACAGCCATAACTGTAGCCTAGATTTCTGAATTTCAAAAGCCTGTAGCTGAATGTTTGATTTTGACCAATAACTACAAAAAGAGGAACCATCTTACAACATATAACCGTATGGTTTACACACAGAGGGAACTTGAGCATAAAGTGTGCTTTTTTGTGTCTTAACTGTGTCACGAGCAAGAAAAAAAAAAGAAAACTGTCGAGTAAGCAGAACAAAAAAAAGATATGCTTACTCTGCAGTCATGGTGCACTGTAAAAAGTCCTGAGTGCGAACAGTTAGGCAGTTTGTAATCCCATGGCTCTGCAGCCAGTGACGCACCACCTTCTGGGTCAGTTCAGACGGGCGCACGAGGGAGGACACTTCCTCCAGGGTGAGGTGTTTACCTGCGGAAGACAAAACAGGCCTCTGTCACTCTGTATGTCGGATAGAACAGAGGTCAAAGTTGAGAGAGCATCAGTAAAGGCTGTTTTTAAACTGTCATGTGAGAACAGTTCATATCCCTGTGATATGTTAAGGACAGAATTAGAACAAAGGGGACACAAAACCCACTGAGGACCTTAGCTCAACAAGTGTGTGCAGATCTTTATTTTTACATCCTAGATGTTCAGGGTTATTTAAGGACAACCTGCAATCATCAGACAGACCATATGATGCTGAGTCAGGGTCCGACAACAGACTGAGTGTTTCCTCCAGTAGGTTAACATTTTGCTGCTTCAGGGCAAAGATCAGCTCCAGTTCCTCTGTGGGGTTGACCCGGCCAACGTGAGTCCAATCCTCTGGTATCCTGGGGAAAGAGGAAAAAAACAGTTCATGCTCTTTTACTGAAGCCACTCAACATACCTGTTGAACTTAACCTTCAGAAAACGTCACTGTAATCTGAGCAGTTTTTACCAAACTGTATCAGGTTTATTTGACTAATTCTGTATCCGTCTGTGCTGCAGTTCATGAGATCTTAACAAGGTTTA